TTCTAATAGTGAATAAATATTTTATTTAATTATATATTGTTTATTCGGTCCAATAACGTTTGCCCTCTTTTCTGGCAATAGCATTATTACACGATTATATGATTTATTTGTTCTTTGCTGGCAAAAAAAAACCCGACTCAAGTGGTTTTTGAGTTCTTCATTTAAAGCAAAGCTGTTTTTCTCCTTCTAAGAAATAGTTATATTCTTGTAATTTTGATTAGAATAAATTATCAGAAAGTGCCAGTTCGGAAGAATATTATAAATGGGGCAATATATACCATCCAAGCTGTAAAATTTTTTAGGAAGTTATCACACTTGTAAGCGTCCTTGCATTATCTTCATGATTATAGCTATGCAGTCGTCTTTGTTATAGTGCAAAAATAATATATACTTTAAAAATGCTGCTTTTTACTTTTTAAATATGAAAGGACACCAACCAAAAACTACTGCGTGGAATCTGTCGCATTTTTGCATATGCAAGCCTTACTATATCAGTAATTAAAATATATAGAGAGCGAGGCAATCGAACTACAACTTTTAAAATTTTATTGTGCTAAAGAATAACATGTTCGGATATAATTCAAATTTAATATTTTATGCATTGAGACGACACAAACAAACATCACACGCTGGCCGAAAGTAGCTCTGTAGTATTTTAACTCATTCCTGACGAAGAGTTTTTGTTAGATCGATACTTGCGTGTCCTTTAGTGCTAACGTAATCCTTTAAACATATCACATTTAAATCAAATTTTTCAAAACAGCTGATAAGTAAGTCATATGGTTTGACATATTTAGCAACCTTAAATTAGTAGCAGTTGAATTGCCAGCCTAAAAATGGTTATAAAAAAAATACAATTAAAGCTTCTATCGGGGGGAAAAACGAAATTACTCTCCGAATAACCCAGTATATTTTGTTGTTGAACTCTTTTTCGCCGAATATACTCAAAACTTTATTTTTTTACAAATAACCTAAAAAGAAAACAAATGAAATGATTAATAAAAGTTGCTTAAATTATAAATTATATGCATTATATTAAAAGACTAAATTTGTTGCACAATAAAATCGCATATAGGCCGGGACAAGTGCAATGTTATATTAAATCCAAACATTGACACTGACCCAACCTATGTGAAATTCTTATTTCAGTTGATAGCTAATACAAATTCTATCTAATTTAAGAATAAAATACACATTATTTATTATTAATTACTTTATCGTAATATTAATTATATTATACTTAATATGATTTTTGGTGTTTTTGAACAAAAAATTTTTTTATTGAAAAACAAGTCTAATCAAGCCATATTATATTAGTCATTATTTATTGATGACCTGCTATTTGTCTGGTAGTTCTATTATTCCATCGGTGTATAATTGCTGTGGGTTATCGATAAAAAAAATTTTCCAAGTGGTATTCAGCGACTCTTCGGTCTCTTCATTTTTTACTATTAAGTATTATTAAGTGCAAAGACCGTAACAAATGGTTTCCAGACGTTCCCACCAAGGTGTCCGTCTAAGCATGCCATTTATTTAGTAACAAAATAGCAAGGATACATACCAATATAATAAATTTGTAATTATAAAGTTATAATTTGTTATATCGTACCCAACGCAGAAAAGAAACTTTTGGAAGAGTCATTTTAGTATAATTCATTTAATAATTTATCAAAGGTGAAGCATCTCTATACCAACAAGGAGTTTCCGCTACAATCGGAAAAATGATTAAGAGCAAGCAGCTCGTTATGTAAATGGGTTGACTGTGCAAACAATAACATTCTCAAAACAATAATACAGGACAGCAGTAGAACCATAACATTATCAATTACAACCATTACAATATATTTGTTAATATTGTTCAATAATTTTATTTAATATAAAAACTCCAACTCGATATGAAAGTAATTAGAAGTAGTAGTAAACGCTTCTGTTTTTTATTACTTTTATTGCATTTGTAAAAAATTCTTTTGCATTTGTATAAAATGCAGTCTTCAATTTATTATTTTCATTATTTTTCAAAACCCTAGTTTAACCGAAAAAACAAAATATTTATTCAAAATCCACACTACAATATACAAAAAATGTATATATAAAAACTTACATACATTATGACATATTGTCTTCTTTTTCTTTATAGCTGAAGCTCAAATTTCACCAATTCTTTTTTTTAAGAATATTTTTTACTCCACTCATAATTTGATTACGTAAAACATAAAAAAAAAAAAACATATTAAATTTCCGCCCTTTATTTTGTTTTATATATACAAGCAGAACCCAAATTTAACCGATATAATTTTTAGGTTTAATTTTACTATGGGATGATGAAAGAAACTAAAGCAAAAACGTATGTTCTCGTACATATGCGGGAGTACAGTTTTTTGTGCAGATCTCTATCATACCATTATCTTATTCAACTTGTTTTCAACAAGTGAACCATTTAAATTTAGATTTTAAATTTTACCTGTAGAATTCCTATCTATACCTTTCTGCATATAATAATTAAGCATGATTCGTGATAAAATACTGATCTGCTCTTGCTCAGTTGCGGTTATTATTTCTCCATTCACATCTTCCTCCTATGAGTGTTGAATTGGTAATCGTGTCTTTGAGAGCAAATCATGTGGAAAATTCTTTTATTTTCAGTTGAAATATTTTGTATTGCTTGGGTATTATATATCAAATAAGTTTCTTTTTTTTTCAATTTTTTTTTATTTTACCAAGTGACCAGAAATTGCGAATTTTGTTATAATGGAACAGAATACTACTTACTATCTTAAAACGACATAAAAACATAAAATAACGCTTTTACGATGCTTATAGCATTTTATTTTAAAATAAAAAATTGAAAATATTTTTAATATGACATCGACATGAGATATCCTTTGTGGAACATATGGTTTTATGCTACTTGCAGTATTACAAACATTAATTATGTTACAAATATAGAGTGGAAACTGCCCCGCAACCTAACCTAACGTAACCTACACATCCATCCCATGTAATTCATATCGATTCAACATTACTCATTGGTGCTACATAACTATTTGATTCAAAATGTTCCGTTCTTTAATAATAGCCGTTCTATTACTTAAATCGACAAATAAAATATAAAAATAAAATAATAAAACAAAAATAATATAAAACAAAAATAATATAAAACAAAAATAATATAAAACAAAATACAGTGGTCGTCCAGTATAACGAACGCTCGATATTACGAATTTTCGATATAACGAACACCCAAAATATTTACATTGATTGTTCTATATAACGAACGAAAAAAAAAATTCTGCTCCATATTACGAACAAAAAATTTTTTGTTTCTTATTCGTTTTTGTTTTATACAAATTATGCTTTTGAATATAATTTTACTATAAAACTAGCATTATTCAGCTTAGAATATGCATGTAATTGTCCGTTTTTTTTTTTCTGAGAAAAAAGCCTATATATGGCAAAATGCATATATGCAGGCGCCACTGATCTGTTGTTCACAAATTCAATTTATCATATACGAAATACTATCCAATACTATCTAACTATTTATTGTTAGTGTGACATTAGTACATACGAAGTTAATAAATGGAATAATGCTGATAATACCATCGATGTCTCGGACGAGGATGATAGATCTGATGACGAAAATATAGAAGAAAATAATTTAGAAATTATTAAACATAAAGATGCCATAAATCATTTCGAAAAATGCATAAAGTGGGCGATTAACAATAATGAAACTTCAAAATTAGCTGTACTAAGAAAACTACAAGAAAAAGCTGTTCAGAAAAGTCTTGAGTGTAGTAAAAAACAAACAAAAATTAATGATTTTTTTTACTCTACACTATGATTGAATGCGTCCTTTCTTATAAATAATTTTTGTAACAACCGAATAAAAAATACTTTCAAATAAATATATACTCGTACGTGTTTATAAGTTAATTTATGAACTCAAATATATGAAATCTCCTAAAAATAACCATATTGGTAGGTAAATGTATAACATTCGATATTACGAATTTTTCGATATAACGAACAAGGGGTGCAACATAAAATTCGTTATATTGGACGTCCACTGTACTTTGTTTCTAGAATGATAACAGATGACTATAGCATATATTACATAGCTAAAAGATATGTTTATTTATGTTAACAGAGTTTTCACTATATAAATAAAAATTGCTTGGAATGAAAATAATAAAATAGTAGATCTAATACATCTAATAGTTTTTCTTATCATAGCATGAGATATAAGGATGCTTTTTAATTTATTTTTATTTTCAATATAAGTTTATAATTTAAAGCTAAAATATGCCGAGATATATAAATTGCACAAATGCCTTTAATTCATAAAGGCATTTGATTAGCTTACAATGTTTGATAAATTTTATTAATTTATTTTATTATTAATTAATGATTTTAATGTAGTATTTTATAATTATTAGGATAATAGTGATTATTAATAATAAAAATCTTTGAAGATTAACACTGTTCTAAGTTAGGTTAGGTTGAAGTTGGAGCTTTGCACATCAAAGCCCACTAGAGCTCACATAATATGCTGTTGTGATAGTGTAGATTATACTATAGATACCATGTTCATATGTAGATCAGAACGAAATTTTAAAAAGATGGCAGTGGTCAGCATACACACAATGCTGAAAAGCATGATTTTCATTCAAGTGAAAATGTGCCAATCAGACAAATCTATAAACTTGCTATGCCAACTCTTTCAGGTCAATAAAGTTGGACATTGCTATAGAAGGTGAGACATGGCTTCCCCCTCTTCTTTAGTGTCACAATCACAACAAATGTAGAACTAGTGTCTCATAACATTCCCTCTTAGTTCGCAGTTTTCTGTCAGCACCGATATTATAGTGCTGAGCAGGTTGCAGAAGCGGATCGTAAAGCTTTTTTTATTTTTATTTTATTATGGAAATTAAAAATTAAATTCTAAAGAATATGTTATTATGTCTTTTTTAATAATTTACACAAATTATCTTTTTTCTAGTGGATTTATAAATATGCCGATTTACGTCCCTGGGATCCACGGAATGACGTTAAACAATTCGAATGCAATTATAAAGTATTAACAAAAACCCGTCACCAAGCGCCTTTGGTTCGTACTACAAGTGTTCTTAGTGGTGATCAAATGCATGTTGTAGTCACTGATTCAATACCAATGCCTGTAATCACAGCACAACGTAAAGTTAGAAATATGATACAAGCAGAACAAAATGTTTCGGACTCAAGTCAATCGAATGATGAAGTGGTGTTGAATGCAGTGACAGATAAATCTCTTAAAAGGTATGTGTATAATCATGCATAAAGAATTATAAAGAATTATAATAATTATAATTTTTTTATAAATAATATAATTATAGATTAGCAACATCATTGGATCAAGTCAATAGAACTTTAGAAGAAAATTCCCGACAATTAAGAATTATAGAGCTTAAACTTGAACGTATGGAATATGCACCGCCATTTACGACTTGGAAAAATCCTACTGAAACGGATGTAGCAGTTTCGAAACTTATGCGTGGGCTACCTAGTACAGTACCGCAGTCTTCTGTAGTAAAAGCTGTTGCATATGGTGTGATCAGCGTAATATGTTATGTTATTCTAAAATGGTTTTTTAAGTAAAAAAAAATGTCTATATTGCATGAAATTTAATACGCTTCCATATGGCTTATGAAAAAATAGAACCCTGCCTCAAAGATAAATATGCTCTCAGGTTATTGATTACACGGTATAATTCACATTATAAAATACGGTTTCATTGCTTGATCATTTTCAAAATTTATTACTGTAATCTATGACGGCAAACTTTATATCCTTTCCACTATAGAAAGATTTTTAGTATTAAATTAAAAGAGTTTGTAAATTTCTTTGTAAAATTATTTAATCTAAAATTATTTGCAATATTTTATATATAATGCACTAAATTTGTAGACTTGCTGACATGTATCATTTAAGACGAATAATAAATATAATTCTAAAAATTATTGAATTAATTTGTATATACATAAGTTTAATATAACAATTCCATGATTTTTCACACTTTTTGGGATTCTGTCAATATACATAAAATTATTAACCTTATAATGAAAAATTGATAATCAATGTTGAAATTTTTTTTTTATTTTATTTTTTTTGTGTGAAATTTATAAATTTTATTCAAGCACTTTTTTTATAATCCTTAATTAACTAAACACTTATGTACACTGAATTTTTTATAAACTAATTAATATATAGCAATTTGTATACACGAAGATTTATAAATTCGCTAATCTTAAGATTGAAAAAATAGCTGCTTACTTTAAAGAAAAATATATTTAGAGAAAACAATAATGTTTTATTTGTTATTACAAAAAAAATATATATGAATAGTTAATAAATACTGTCTTATTTAATAGAAAGTGCTGCAATTAGTTAAAAATTTTCAAGATTAGCAATTTCAACACATCTAACCTACGGGGACGACCAAATGCCACGATAAGTGATGTCAGTTCCAAGAACGGCCGGATCTACTTCTCGGAGCTACCTGTCGCTATAGACTACCAAGAAAATATCTCAAAATTATTTTCATGTTATTGACGTTTCTGTAATGTTGTTCTAACATAGATTTCGGGAGGTCTCCTAAGTAATTCACGTTTCTCTCATGTTGTAGCCCAAATTCCAGGTAAGAACAGGTCCAAGAACAGGTCCTACCAAGAAAATAACTCAAAATTATTTTCATCTTATTGACGTTTCTGTAATGTTGTTCTAGCACAGATTTCGGGAGATCTCCTAAGTAATTCACGTTTCTCTCATGTTGTAGCCTAAATTCCAAGTGCGAACAGGTTCAAAAACAGGTCCTACCAAGAAAATAACTAAAAATGATTAATATCTGTTGTTCTAACAGAGATTTCAGGAGGTCACCTAAATAATTCACGTTTCCCTCATGGTGTAGCCCAAATTCCAGGTGTGAACAGGTTTACATTAAGGAATTACTTGTCTTTTATTAGCTGCTCACACAACCAAGTGTCAACTCGACTTTATAAACTCGAAACTATAAAGTGTCGCTTACTCCTTTCAGGACTAAAAAGGATGTATTGCCATGTCCAGAGCATTTAAATGATATTATTTTGAGATGTTTTGCTTAAGTATGACTTCGTCGCACCTATTCGTATCTAACGCAAGCACGCAACCTGACATATATTTAAGAAGGATTCTT